TATAAAAAATCTATAGAAGAAATCATTTGGATAGAATCTAGAGTTATAGGTGCTAAAAAAAAATCCAGAATAGCATTAGAATCTAGATTCATAGTGCCTTGAAAAAAATTTTTTTATATAAAGTTCAGTTACTGAAATCATATGTTATAAAAATGTTTACTGTATGATTTTACATAAAACTAACGTATAGTGTACGAGTTTATAAATTTAGTTTGTACAAAAATGGTCCTTGGTCGCAAAGGTTTAATTAATAGTACCATGCAATATTTAGGGGCTCTGTCCCGGTCCGGTCCTGGTCTCGTAATCTGTAAGTTTACTATAGACCAAGTCCTTATAAAATCAGTTTTAGAACTTTAGTTACAGTTCTAAAACCTAAGTCCGCTATATGTTGTAAAAGGGGTGACTAGTACCTAAGACACAACAAAAATCAAAAACTATTCGAAAGAAGACATGAAAGATTTGGTATAAGAACCAAGGAACTTACTGCCACTAGGATCAGTGTCTGAAATTCAATTTTTAAATTAGTTGCGGGCTGCAACCAATTAAAAAAAACGACTTGCGGATTATAAAAATTTCTAAAATTTAGTTGCGCAAATGAACATTTAATTGAAGTTTATAGGTAAATTTTGCAAATTTATATGTGGAATTTGCATGTACACTTCAGATTTTGGTTGCAGGAATTTAAAATTTTGTTGCGGTCCGCAGACTCCGCAACCCAATTTCAGACACTGACTAGGATCCCCGGAGTTTATCATTCGATGGTCTTTATTATTATAACACTTTACTTGTTTTCAGATACATGAAATCGATAGTTATTTATATACTACAGAGAGCTTTGGGGCTTTTCTACTACGATTAGAATCTCTAAGCAATATGACTATTTAGAGTATCAGAGAGGAATCTATGACTAATGATGCGTAATTCATACTCATTTACATGATTATAACTTTAGTTCTCACCATAGAGGTTATGGGCAGACATTCATATGATTGGCTAATTTTTGTGAATCTACCCGTGATCTTCCATGATAATTAACCAATCAAAATTTATAACTGATAATTTCAATTGATTAATTTATACGGGTATTAAATTAAAATTTAAATCGATACGATTTATACAAATTCGCAATAATTATGTAATAAATAAAATTTTATTTTAAATTAAATAATGATAGAACAACTAAGAGCAATATACTGTAATTATTATGTAATAAATAAAATTTTATTTAAATAAATAAATATTGTTTTAGTATATTCAAAATAAATATTGTTTTAGTACGCTCTAAACTTCCAAATTGCCTCCTCTAATGCAAATGGTTTATATTCTACCGATTCTGTTTCTTTATTGTTGTCAGAAGAAACATTTTTTATTCTTTTTTTTCTTATTCAAATTCCGCAAACTTTCAAGTAAAGACTGAACATGTTGATCGACTCCATCTTGTAAAAATGCAAGACAATACAAATACTTGAAATCGTTACTAGCATAGCAGGATTTATGATAAGAGTGACCGCAAGATAGAATTCTAATCGGGTTTGGGTTAACAGGAAAAAAAACAAGACAGTTAGTTGAATCGCAATAACGAAATGAATCAGGTTTATGTAAAGTATTAAACCCCAAAGAAAGATGAGATAAATGAACTTCCAGCATTTTCATCGCAGTTAAAGAAATGGATTCCTCAGATTTTTCTTTTTCCTTTCCTTTTTTCTTTGAAGATGAATCTATGATAAATGATGAAAATATTAATGGCGATTTATAATGAAATATACGTATATAGATTTCAGAAAAACAATGCAGAAGAAAACATGCGTATTTTTTTGTTAAGTTAGAAATATCTCGTGCAGAATACTCATACGCTGCCCATGTGGAAGTGTGGGCAAAATTTTCCTTAAATCCATTACTATCCAGACGCAAATGATTAATATAACGGCCATGATTAATGATCTGCTGGGCTTTGGTATGTTTCTGAGTGCTTCTATGCAAAAAACTATGAAATATTTCAATGGTCGCATCCGAAAATTTGGGAAGTTCAGCCTTAATTACTTCAAGAATTGGATGATTGGTCGATTCTCAATAGAAAATATCATAAAGAAACATTAATGTAGCCTTCGTATAGTTTTTGCGATTAAACTTAAAAAATAATATCCAAACACGAAAGCAAGATTCAAGATAAGTATTAAAATCCCCAGACCTAAAAAACACTGTGTAAATATCCAAAACAAGGGGAATTGTATTGTTAAGAAGATCCTTGAGGGCAAGATACTCGGCATCTTTATACAGAGATCCAAACTTTTTTTCAACCGTTTTCGAAATTTCTTGCCAAGCACTACAAGAAATCTCCAAAAGGAGATTAATATGCCATGGCTTGGGAGTTTGGGCGAGGGGCTTTCGTGGTCCAAAAATATACTTATACATTTCCGCGAAAAAAGGCCGATATTGAAGAAAAACCAATTCTCAGCTATTTAACGAAATATAAAGAGGTCCTATAATTGGAAGAAAAGATAAAATATTATAAGTAATATTGGACGAGTCTTTATAAACTAAATAACACGATATTGCCGTTCTAATATGAATTTGCCCAGGCCAGTCAGCAACGAGAGGAATCATATGCTCTTTTTCAATATACTGCCATATAGATAGAACACTTGTAATAGTATTAATATTCGTCCATCGAATGGAGGTGATTCTCTTGTAAATCTATAAGGACAACATCCTTCATAGAATGAATATGACGCTTCTCTTTTAACTGGACATCATAGCTATGCACAGTTAACTCTTCTAATCTTGTATTGTCGTCGACTGTGCGAAACCCCCAACGTTGGTTATGTGAAAGGCCGTAAGGTGCCATAAATCGATTCTCTATATTTAATTTAATTAAATTAGCATCGATTAATAAAGGGTTATGTATATTTTCTTGAGGGATAGCCGCCTGGTTAGTAATTGGGTTCATTAATATTGTGGCCAAATGTGCTGCTGTAGATGTAGTGGTTGTGTTGGGCATCCATGGGGTATAAATACTATGATAATCATCTATATTCAGTACCATCGCTTTTTCTACATGCTCAGCAAGTGCAGAATCGACAATTTCAGCATGTTCTTCGGCTGCATTAGTCTTAAACCGTGCAATTAAGCAAGATGTAACCGTTATACCTAAATCTGCAAGTGTATCAATAGTAGTATCAGAAACACCAGTTGAATCTAAATACAATGTTAAATCTCTTTTAGCATTATTCACAAATTTATTTCTTATTCCACAAAGAAAATAGCACACAAATAAAAGCTGTTTTTTCACCCGGGTTTGCGTTTCTTTATTTTTTGATCGCGGATTAGATGAAGCATATAATTCATCAAAAAACAATTTTAGCCTTGCGTCTTTCTCTTCCATAATTACCTGTAATTCATCAAACGAATATATCGCCGGCTTTTTTTCTTTATTTTCACATTCGAATAAAATTTTTGTCATCGTCCCTATTGCATTAGAAAAAGACAAGAAATTAGTATTATCAGCTTCTTTAACTTCAGATTGCCCCAGATCGTCGATATTCTCAACTTCAGGTTCTTCAGTTTCAAGTTGTCTCGCATCAGTTAGAGCATGTTGCCGAAATTTAACTAAGCTTTTCGTTACGATTCCATTGTAGCAATTCAAACAAATTGTATCGCCTATTTTGAGATAAGAAGGTAAAGTTTCGTTAGTCTGTCCTTTTGTAATAACATTTTCAGTTACTGATCTCCAACTGTTTGACTTTTTTTCGCATATTGTAATCACGCATGGGCCTGTAATACTACTAGTAAATGGCATTTTTGTCTTCTAAGTGAAGTAAGTCAGGAGTATGATTCTTTTTTGATTCTTTTGCACAGTTAATATTAACGTTTGTCTAAAGCTAAGAATGGCTTTTATGGCGATTTTTTATTAGTGAAACGTTACATTCTCGAAAAGTACTTTAAAGTGCATAAATAAGTTACCTGGGTAATTGATTTACATCAGCCAATCAAATGAATGTCTGACCATGACCATAGAGGCGCCTTACTTCAATGGAGCTTTGCCTCAAGCCAAACCCGAATTGGCATTTATTAAATGCCTCGATTAATGTGTATTAAGGTGGAATTCCCTTATGTCAAGAAAATCCCAGGCTAAGGATCTACAAAAATTAGGCCCGGAGCCAATAAAAATTGCAGGATCTTGCAGATCTTAATATAAATCTAAACAAACACCAAAAATAAAGAAATAATAAATAACGCAAAATTTTACTATGACAATCGGCCTTTATTTCTAAGTAAAAAATGTGTAGCATGAAATTTTACTTATAGGAAGAGTTTTTTATACTAAAAATAACAATATATATATATAATATTATCAAAATTGTGTGTTACATCGGATGTAGATCATTTTCTTGACATAAGGTCTGGCTTAGATCACGTTTTTTGCTGCGGCTAGTTTACGTTACCCCTTCACAATGTACATATGGGGGTGTCAATAGAAACCAAGCAATTATCTTAATAACTATTAAGCCAAACTTGACAAAAACTTTTTTTATTTTAATTCTATATAGTTAGAATTAAAATAAAAAAAAATTTATCAAGTTTGATTTAATAGTTGTTGAGATAATTTAAACTTACTAAAAACAATTTGCTTGGTTTCTATTGACACCCATATTGATATTTACCTATTAATATTATGTGAACTATATATATACATTAAATAAATGATTATGATCTATACTATGCATTTAAACCTTTTTATACTGTATATACAGTATATTGATTAGGCTGTCCAGAATTATGCAATAGCAGAAATTTGCAGTTGAAATGAATTTTATTATTTTTAATAAATTATATAATTTCATTTTAAACTATTATAAATTTGTATATTAGGACTTTTTAAAGACCTAAGGACCCTAGGTCCTTAAATTTGGACTTGGTCTTTAAAGACCAGGTTTAAAAACCAGGTCCTAAAGTCTCGGACTTTATCAACCCTATCTCTCTCATACTATCTGCCAAATTTCCTAATTTGAATCTTCATCTTCAATTATTGGATAAGTATCTTCCGGAAGTTCTTCATATATTGCAACATCGGGTGCTGGCTCTTCTATCTCTTCAATAACCCTTAAGTTCAATTCTTCAATTGCTTTACATAATATAATAAAATAGCGACTATTATGTTTTGCTATTGACACATAAAAATCGAATATGACTGCTGTAATTAATAACTTACCAACTGGAATGCGAGTATCCAATGCGTTATTAACGCGTACAGGGTTATTTTTTCTTTCCTTTTTATACTTGTTCTTTATCTGATCACGTGTCTTTGTGTTAAGGAACGACTTTGCCGCGATTATCTCAAAATCAGTTCCCCATTGTGACAATGACTATAAATAAATAAGATTAAAGTCTACTACATCGCCATCAAAAATTAAAGGAAATGAATAATAAAATTTACTTTGTAAAATAGTTCAGTCTCTTCTGCTGTCCATCTTTCATTCCTCCGAGGTTTTTTTGCATAGGATCCAGAGTTTACCATGTGAGAAAATTTATCCTCTTCTATGACTTCCATGTCTTCACCACTTATAACTTCTCGTCGCTCTTTAGGTTCTTCGCGCATAGTATATTGGCCATCATCATTAATAAATCGACTACCACGATTCTTAAATATGCGTCTAAAAATTTAGAAAAAAAAAAAAAATTGAATAAAAATATTAAATAGAAAAGAAAATGTATAAATATTTACCTTTTCATAATAATTGGCCTAGTACTTTCATCATCATGGCTTGATTCTGCTTCATTTTCTGCTTGCTGATTATTTTCATCTGGTAAATCATTTAACATGACTTCTTGATCATAATCATTGGTATTCTCATGATCCACCTCGTTATCATAATTTTCATAATTTCCATCATCGTAATTTCCATCGTCGTAATTTCCATCGTCGTAATCGTAATTTCCATCATCGTAATTTCCATCGTCGTAATCGTAGTCGTAATTTTCTTGTTGAGAATCGACCAATTCATCATTGACCTCGTCAGCGTTGTCCCTATTTTCTTCTTCTGCTTCACCTGTATCTCTACCATCAACAGAAGGGATTTTTTTTGCGTGATTAGCACGTTTAAGCTGAAGTTTTTTATATTTTGCAAGTTCTAACTCTTTAAAAGTATTTGATTTTCTTCCTCTTTTGAGGTCTTTGCATAGTTCAGCAATCGTAATAATAGAATCATCGTGTGGAATTTCTTCGTCCGGATCATCCTCCCATGGTCGCACTCGTTTTTTACTAACAGGCTTGCGTGGTCTTGTCGACTTACGTTTCATCGTAAACGTAAGGCGACAAGACAACGCAATTCGTGGCTAGCATAATAAAAAAAAATACTCTCATATTTGTGAAACGCCGCCTTGCTAGCATAGCAGGCTTTCATTGTGATTGGCCAATTCTGTAAACCAATAAATCACATATACGCATATCTAATTACATTTATCAATTTTTTTTATAATTAGGTTGATAGCGTAAATAGTAAAAACATATAAAATTTAAATTGCAATAACTCTTGAACAAGCAAACCCACACAAATAAAATTATATTTATCGGGTTCACTTTAGTGTACTCTTTAAAGTAACAACGTCTTTTTTTTATTTATTTTTATTGTTTGAAGCATATCGGAGGATGCAGTTTTCATACAAAATTGTCATTTTTGATATTTTTTAATGGATAGGATTTTAGGCCTGGTAGTATAAAAAATTATATATCTAAAAAATTTTTATATACAAATATACAATATTAATATAGTTATTGAAAAAAAAAAAATTTTGAAATACTATTTTTAGTAAATTTCAGTGTACTATGTACCAGTAGGGATGTTAAGTGGTCCACAGGGAACTAGTTCATACTGAGTTCAGACCCAGACTTTTTAGAGACTAGTAAAACTGGTTCAAAACTAGTTCAGCCCTTACATGATATGAATAGAGTGTTATTTTTGATACATTAAATAAATTAGATAAAATGTGAATCAATAACAATACACCCTGAGTGGTGTACTTTAAATAAAATTCTCTAATTGGGAAATCAATAACAAATACTCTAATTGGTGAATTAAGTTAAAATTAGTTAAATGCCAACTTTTCAATCAATAAGGTAAAGTTTGTAATAAAAAGTATTATAAAATCTATATTAAACTGCTAGGGTAGGACTATTATAGAACTTGTTTTTGACAAGGGAGTGAACTAGTTTTTAACTAGTTTCTAAACCAGACTTTTTAGGAACTGGACTGGACCAAACCAGATGCACCACTTAATATCTCTAACTACTAGGACCTTAAAGAACTCTAATACAACTCATATGTTACCAAAAAAGAAAATTTTGCATAGAAAATCATCAAATATTGCTGACTTCAGATATCTTTTTAACTGGAAACCCCAATTCAAGTTATGTAGAGTAGTGCTGTATTTACAAATAAACAAGACATATGGTTGCAGTTTACTGAGTTTATCCAAATTTGGGAGATGTCTAAAGCAGAGTAGATTCTTATAATATATATTTTATCAAATTAATTTTAGGGTTATAGTTAAAGTTAAAGTAAGGTTTAGATAATTATATATAAGCAAAATTGTCTTTTGACATTTTTACTTAACTTACCCAAAGTAGGTTTAGACTGCTATTTTTTTGTATTTTCAAGTTTTTCGTTTTTTTTTCTTGTTTTGCTTTATTAGCGATTATCAAAATTCTATAATTTAATTGGTCTAATACTACATAATTCTGCTCTGCTTTAGATGACCCCAAATTTGGTATATAAACAATGCTGATCTTTTGGAGAGAGTAAGCCAAATCCCAACTTTTTGCAAAAATTTTAGAAGACTGGCAGAAAAGCAGGAGTGAGTATAAGAAGAGCTACTTAATTAAAAAAAAAGTGCAGCTTAAGAAAAACATGTTCTTCACTGTTTCTCCATTATTTCACAACAGAATACTTTATCAATAGAAAACTATATTGTGTTTTCACCAAAATTTCATATACAAGAGCACCACCTCCTGCTAGTTATCTTGTATAAAATGTTTTTGACTTGTATGTCAAATATATAAGAGTTCCCAGATTTGCAAAGATTAACCTTTATAAAAACCACTCTGTTTACCTACTACAGGTTCTGCCACCTCTCCAGAGTTTAAACTAAACTTTTCTTTTATAGGAAAGTTTGGTCCAAGTAATTATTGGAAAAAGGTTCTGATTTGTAAAAATTAATTATTATATATAACAATAAAGTATTAATAAATTGGTTGGTTAATGATTATGTATATTAATAATTAATGTTTTAGAATTCAAAGTTAGATTGTAAAATTATTAATAGTAAATATAAATAAATTATCAAATTACAATGTTATATAATTGTAATATTTTCAAAGCCAAATAAATAGTGTTCAAGATTCTACAATGATAGAATCTGTACAAAAATTCTTCAAACAGAATAATAATTTATTAACAGATATAATTTATTGTGTAAACTTTATTTTTATTTTTATTTTTTTTTCTATGTAAAACATAATTTGAAATTTTAAAGTAATTAACGGAAGCTTGTTTAGCAAACTAACATATGTTCATTCCTAACTTTTAATATATATGTTGAATTAGAAATAATAAACTATCAGAATTAACAACTTCAAATATCAAAATTCAGTTAAATTTTATTTCTCAATACATTTATAAAAACCTACATTTAAGGGTTAATTTCAACCAGTACCAATTCACTTATTTGAAATCGCTACATATCATTACTCTAAATTTATAACAGACATTTTATATTTGAGTGTCGTTAAAAGGAAAACTGTTATCATCGGACTTTCAACTATATCTTGTATCTATCATGATAGATTTTTCATGGTACACATGTGATATAAATTCTTTTATATATATTCAACAACCATCGTCCAATCATAATCCAAATTTTGCACACTTTCTATTTTAGTTGTCTGCAAATTATACACTTCGTAATTTGCATTACTATGTTCCTGGTATTGCACATGCGAGCAGATTCATTGCCCAGTTTCAACTATTGCTAAACTTCCCAAACCGATATGCATAATGGACAGATTTTGTATCAGTATTAAGAGGTTATTTAGTATTGAGAAGTTATCAGGTTTAAAAACATTATAAACTATTGGATTCATATAAGTAACGGAACAGATTTATTTTTAATAAGATTTGACAGGTTGTCAATTTTGACAGGATCGGTTTTAGGAATAAGCTATTCAAATTGATATAATTAATCTGTTGAATAGGATAGGTAACACTTCGGATAATATCAGAAATATTTGAAGTATCGGATTTATCAGATTTTCATCTTGATTTCAGAATTTGGAATTTTTATTTCGGATCACCTTATTAAATCCGAAATATTAATTTTAATCAAATTAAAAATTAATATATATATAGTTTGTTTTTAACAACTACTACTATATAAAATTTATTTAGTAAAAAAATTTTTTAAATTATAGTTAAAACCTAAAAAACCAAAAAACTTATATAAAATACCAAAAATAGTAATGATTTTTAACTAACAGCTAAAATCTTTATAGTAAAGAAATTTTTTTGTAATATAACTAGTAATAAAATTTTAAATACAGTATAATAAGTTTTAAAAAATTTCTAATTTTTTACACATAGTACAAAAAAAAAACAAGCCAATAATGTCCAAAACAGCTAAAAAAAAAAAAACCATAGATGGTTAAATAAAAAGCATAAAAGTAATGATAAAAGACCACCAAAGAGTCTCACCTCAATTCTCAACCGCCCCCGTATAAGGTAACTTATTAAAGATCATGCGGAAAAACATTGGAAATCCTCTTCGGAATGAGTCGAAATACTCTTGGTATTCATAGGTAGTAAATAATCGGCGTGAGGGTTGGTCTCTCACGAGAACTATGACGTAATCTAACAATTGGCTCTTGTCTTCATCAGACAGGCCTGACATACATTTTTGTCTCTTGACCTCTAATATCGGATGTGCATGGAGACAAAAGCCCTTCCCACAGCATCCTCAGCATCAAAAACGCTAATATCTGGCATATACCCCCGTATAGTACACAGAGTATTGATTTGTTAAAATTTGTATAAAGATTAGGCTAAGTGTAAATTTGGGATGAAGGCGGGAAGAGTAGTTTATACGATAATTCCAGTGCATGTATTACTACATTTAATCGTTCAGACCATACTTTTTGAGCTAAATGTTGAAATGGAATATCAAAAGTTAAAATTTTCATCGTTCTACAGGAAATTTTTTCTATTAATATTCGAAAGGTAAAGAAAACTAATTTTGCGTTACACCTGATCATGTAATCTGATTGGCTTTTTCTATATTACCCGTATATTGATATACAGTGTTCAAATAGAAATTGCAAATACTGCTAACTTTTTAAAAAGTACGTATACATGCTACTTTAATGTTTTACATATATTATTCATAAATGCAACACCAAAGCGTTATAGACAATATAATTTAAAATAAAAAAAAACGGATTGCCGGGTACTTCTACGTTATCGCAATGCATGAATGTGTGATCTACTGTAATATATACTTATAGACATCATAAATGTGGAAATATTGAAAGTCGCAAGATCCCACGTCCCTGCCATAATAAGGAAAAAAATTAACTTTTTATGATAAATAAAGTAATTGTGGTCCGTGAAAAGTATCGGTATGTCATGCTGGGCAAATAAATTTAATCCATGAAAAGTGTTATGCTGGAGTTAATAATCCGTTAAAAGATGCTTTCGTGAGAGAAAAATTTTGATAGCGATTTAACGGCTTGTGTTCATAAGTGTGCTAACCAAATAAGTTAAATAAATATGTAAATATAGTGTAGGGTAAATGGTGCAAATATTATGTCGCATAGAGAGGTTCTTTTTTATAGTGTAGGGTAAAGAGGGCAAATAGTATTTCGCATAGAAAGGTTTTTTTTTTAGCTGTCAAGTATCGGGTATCGGTAATTCAATAACTGATAACAAATATAAATTACGTGTTATATAAATAAGCGTATCATACTTAGGTTTCAACTTTCCGTTCCGCGGATATATTACCAGTAATATAAATACAGCTACAACCGGACCAGCAGGGTTTATTACTGCACCATACTTGTACATCCTACTTGGTAATTTTGTGCATCAGTGTTGACGTAAGCCACTGAATGATCGAAGGCTTATCTTTATACAGAAAAAGTATGTCTCGCGTTGAAATTTATATTCTCGTTCAGTCTATAGAGTTATTGTCATAAAGAATTTACAGTTGCTTTTTTTGTAATTTTTTTTCTTTTATTATAACTTTTAATTATAAGAGGCATATCTCGGAGAGTGAACGTTCAGTTTGTTTTAAGATAAACTTTATATTTCCATGCTATTCGTTCTTTACAAGACCAACTGCAATTAAATAAAGATATGGCTCATTCGGTTGTAGCTTCTGCTTTAGTTGCCTGGGTATGACCTTATTTACTTGTAAACTTTAAGTTTTTGCAAAATTGCCTACTTTTTGTTGTAAAGATGTTAATTTTTAAGTCAATTATCACTTCTTATTGTTTACAATAGGTGAATACCTTTGATAAGCTTTCACGTACCGTTAGTACGATAAGTGATCTTGCAGACAGTACTGTTTTGGTCGAAATCGTTTGTACTATGTAAGGTTTGCTCTAGTTTTCAACCATATTGAGCTTTAAAAGCTGAAGTAGTAACGCACTAGAAAATTCTTTGACTCTTTACTATTCATAATTTGGGTGTAAACAACAGTGATAATAAGTTTTTCAAGCTTTCAAATGATACTCGCGAAAATAGTTGGAATCAAAGATTTAAAAAACTCCAACAAATGTATCAGCTCATTATTCATTACTACGATACGGTTCTCGGAATTCCCACTTTGAACGTTGATGCACCTGACCTTAAATCCATTGCAAGAGAAGGAAATTTGGAAGAAGCAATAAAGCTATGGTCGTTGATCCTTACAATGGCTGTTAGATCCCCTAATAACGATGTATATATTGAGAAAATTCAATCTCTAAATCCACAGTCTCAACAAGGCTTGATGGTGTCCATCGAAAGGGTATTTTGTCAAAATAGTAAATCTCTTCAGTTTCGTTCTAATAGATTATTAATTAGCATATATGTATAGATAATGACTCGATTAGGAGAGCCTACTGTTCAACATTCTTCAAGAGCTTCGCCAATTACGTAATTATTTATCGTTAAATTATAACCTTGAAACTCTTGATTGCGCAATATACAAGAATATGATAATATCTTTTTATTATATTATTATCTCAGTGACAATGGATTAAATAAAGCTCATGAAGAATATATTAAACTTATCGAGGAGAAAGATACTCTCGAAAAAACTCATGCAGTTCTGATGGAAGAGCATTCCGATTTAAGCTCTAGATATGTAAGTAATCAACTTGTATGGTATTTAATTCGCTAAATATTTTTAATTAATAATGGTTTTTTTTCTGTTATGCAGGACGATTTGCAAGCTTCTAACGATGAATTGAGACAAAAACTTAGAGAGATAGAGAGTGGTAAAGACTTACATTGGAAAGCTGAGATTGATAATCTTCGACATGAATTGTAAGTTTTATATTTTAAAATTGTCTATTTTTATATTACCATAATTATCAGACTTGTAACAAAATTGTTTATTTATTTTTAAAGAGCTCGAAGTGAAAATCGACGTCATGAAACAGAACTCTTGGTTGAGAGAAGCAATATTACGATAAATGAACTTACTAAAAAGGTAATTCACCATCACTTTTAAATTTGTTCACTAAAATCATATTTATAATAAATTGTATTATAAACTAGAATATAGATCTCACTGAACAAGCCGATAGAGCGATGCAATTATCTGATCAATTAGATGAGCAGAAACATACTGCAGATAAGTTAAGGAAGTCTGAGGCCGTTCTTGAAAAATATAGAAAGAAACTTGATGAAACTGCAGATATTAGAAGAACGCTCAAAGTGTGTATTAAAGAAAATTCTTATATGTATGAAAGGATGTGATTCTCATTTTATTTTGACAAATTTTCATTTATTATTATTTTTTTAATTGTAATTTTTAGGCTATGGAACAGGAAAATCGTCAGCTTATCGAACGCAACCGGGAGATAGAGGATGAATATCGTAAGGTTTCTGGTTTCAAGGCTTTAATGGAAAATTATAAGAAGCAAATCGATGCTCTTCAGATGGAAAAGGCAGAACTGATCGCTCAAAATAATAAACTTGAATTTGAGAATAAACATATACGATCAAAGATCGAAGCTCATGAAGTGGCACATGCTCGTGACATGGAAGCCATACATTTACTGGAAGACCGTGTAAGAGAAATGGAAATGGGTGATGGTATGTTTGTAAGAATAAGGTTTTAATATACAATTTACTTTTATTAAACATATTACTCTTTATTCATAGGCGAACGCCTGCAATTGGAAGAAGATAAAACAGATGTAGAAAGAAATATAGAGTCTATTGGAGATGAAATGTCTTTTGCGGAAAAAGGAGACACAAAGACTAGTCTGAGGTTAAAAATAAATGAACTTGAACGAGAATTAGCAAGGTTGAGTGAAGGTAAACCAGTGGATGGAAATGCTGAAGCGGAAGTGTTAATATACCAAAATTTGTTGGAGGATGCAAACCGTGCCAAAAACAAACTTCAAAAGGTACATCGATTATTTTTTTGATGATCTTTTATGGTCAAAATTCTTACCTTAAATTGTTGAACTTGTAAAAGGATTACGAAAAAGTTCTGAAAGATAAAATGACATTAGAAAATGAGCTACGGAATGGCAGTACTTCTAATGGGTAAGCGCTTATTGTTTTCTAATGATGAAAAACGATTAAACCCCCAAGATTATATAACATTTAATTCTAGTGTGGATAAATCTGAAAATAGGAGTTTCGAAAGTGAATTAACGGAAACTAAGCGAAAGCTTATCGAGGCTCAGATAAAACTTAACCAGACAGAAAGAGGAGATGAAAGTGATTGTACGTATTATTCATACACGGTTCTGGTACGAGAAAACCAGATTTTAGGATTGTTATATTCCTAGGCCTGATTTTCAGTATCGGAATTCATAAGTGTTCAAATGAATTACTAAATATAAGAAAAAAAAATAAAATAAATGCTGTAATATAAGTATTTATTTCTATTTATTTTTGTTTTGTACAGCAACTCTAGAAGCTAGAGTTAAAGAATTAGAGGCAGAAAAGGAAAAATTGAAGAATCGTAATGAGTATGTTTTGAAATAATAGTATTAGAGCTCTTTTTATATAAAATTAACATAATATACTTTGATAAATTTTAGAGAATTGAATTCCTTTATTCAAAGTTTGGAAGGCAAGAGCGAGGAAGATCTTAAAGGTCAAAATATTCAATTGCTTCAGAAGAATCAAGAGTTCAGAAAACTCATTAAAGGCCAGCATGAAACTATTAAAAGCCTTGAGAGTTATAAAACCGCATTTGATGCAGAGAAGAAAGCTTATGATGAAGAACTCGCTCATCTGAAGGTTTGAATCGCTTTATTTCTTTTCATAATAATTAATTTTATGATTGTTTAACCATTTTATTCTCTAATTTGGATGAATAGCAAACTAATGAAGAAGAAAAACGGCGTATCGCTAAAGAGATGAGTTTAATCACAAGCGCTTGGTTCAGCATGGGCCGACGTATTCAAGGTGATCATGTGTTCTTGCAACGACAGGCGCCCTCATCGTTCCTTGGTCAACAACGCATGATTCTTGATACGCAGGTGAGATCCAAAATTTCGTGCATACTATTAATGTCTGGCTAATAATCGTCAAACCGTTATTTACACACTGTTATCTTACAAACTAGCTAAAGCGGCGGTGACTAGAAGTTCTTGAATTGCTGGAGCTTATCGCAAAAGCTCATTAAAGATGGGCAGTCACATTTAGACATTCGGAATAAGTAGTTCCATAGCCCATCGTAAAATTACGTTGAAGAAAAATATATTTTTGGATGATTTTTAAACAGATTATAATGCCTTTTATCGTATATTTTCCTTTTTCATTCGAGTTTTTTGCTTTTGTAACTTAAGACAACATGTTCCAGCATTTCAATTACAATGGATATTAATACTTTACCCTTGAATTTTTTTATATTAATGTTTTTTTTTTTCTTTATTTTGTTGATGGTTTTATGTATAAACTCTATTCTGGTTAAGAATCTATTTTATTTACACATATATATTCGTTGTGTACAGAAAACAGGACAAATGTTAATATTTTTGTGAAGTATTATAAACATATAAATAGGACAGATGTATGGCTATTTTAATTCGGCATAAATTTTTAATTTTTTTTGCAAAATGGTATGTTTGTGAAAAGCTATTTACTCTTAGTATCAATATTTTTGATTGAGATTGCATGTAATTTTTTAAATGCTGGCATTGTACAGTATAGCCATATAGCGAATTTGAAAAGTTTAACGAATTGAATTAAATAAACTTTTTACTGTATGTATTTAATAATTTGTTGCATTGTGCAGTATATAATTATTACAAAATTATATTATTTATATTATTTGATTATTGGCCAGAACGAAGTGAAAGGCTTATAATTCTTATACTAGTAGTATATTTAAATTTTAAAATCTATTAGCACTCTCTATTCTGTATAGCGATAGCTCATCCCCAAAATTTCGGGTCGGAATACATCAGAACCCTATGGGCCAGAATTGATCAATTTTGCCCAAGATCACTAAGAATTTTACTTCCGTTTATTAAGTAAAAAGTGCCTGATAATTTTACCCTAACCTCGGCCATTCCGATCCGGAAATTTAGTGATCCTTCTGTAAAAAATATTCCGCATTATACTGTAAAACATGATTTATCTTATCGGCACAGCAATTGACATTGCATTTTTCCGATCTAATCAATTTAATTATAACTAAAATGATGAATTATTAATCATGGCATGATGTTTGTCGGTAGTACCCAGCCATGGCGACGGTCATTGTGAGATTCTACTCGAACTATCACGGTCTGATTGGACAATATTATACAGTGCAGGATTCACCTAAAGCCATATATATTTTTTATAGTAATGTGAAGTAATATTAAAAATTTGGCGTTTAATATATATTTTATTAGCCAATAAAATTAATTTTAGCTTGGTTACACAGAATTTGGCCAATCAAAGACTAGATTTATGTTACACGGCAGGCGCCTATATATGTTTTTAGGTGCCCACTGTATATTATATATTTTCCAAATTTGAGCGAACTACTTATCAAAAAAATCAATGAAAATTAATTCTATGAATCCATAGAATTAAAATAAAAAATTTTTTATCGATTTTGGATAGGCAATTATCAAAAACTGGCTAAGTTCTTCCCAAACCTTGAACGATGAAATCTCGATAACTATCTATTCAAAATTAATGAAATTTTTTTTATTTTAATTCTATGAATTTATAGAATTAAAAATAAAAAAATTCATCAATATTAGGTAGGTAGTTATCAAAAAATTTTAAACTATTATCAAAACAAAAACCGTGGCCAAGTTTTTTCCAAACTTTGAACGATGATATCACGATAACTACCTATTTAAATCGATGAAATTTGGTTTATCTTAATTCTATGAATTTATTAAAAAAATTTTATCGATGCTAGGCGGATAGTTATTGAGATATTCTCGTTTAAATCTTAAAAAAATTCAATTAGTTAAAAGACCGCGATTAAGTTTTTTTTTGAATTTTTAATGTGGATATCTCGATATCTATCTATCTAATTAAAATAAAATAAAAAATTTCATCGATTTTTGAAGGTAGTTATCGAGATATCAAAGCTTGAAAAGAACTTAGCCGTAATCTTTTTGATAATCGCCTAAATTTTTAAACTGAACGATGAGATCTCGGTAACTACCTACTAACATCGATTAATTTGATTTTGAATAGGTAGTTATCAAAGATATCATTGCTCAAATTTGGAAACTTGGCTGCAGTCTTTGATAATCGCCTAAATTTTTTTAAACTTTGAGCGATGAATTTTTTTTTTATTTTAATTCTATGGATTCATAGAATTAAAAAAAAAAAAATTCATCGATTTTGGATAGTAGTTATTATTAATTTTGATAGGTAGTTACCGAGATACCTTCACTCAAAGTTGAAAATAATATACAATATTGTTATTAAAGATCGTTGATTTCGTCCAAATAGAACGTGATAGTTCGAGTAGAATCTCACAATGACCGTAACTTTTTTCGATTCGTGTTACATGAATATGCAAACAAAATTTATTGATATTTTTACTATATACAGTGTATATTATCAGAAAGGTATTTTTGACGAATCAAAAACGTAACTTTTGCATCACTTTGCATAAAAATTGAGCGTTCTTCGTTACGCCCCGAACAATTATTGTATGTCGCGGATGATCGTGAAATCGGATGATAGTGAAATTCGAGGTCTTCTTTTGAAAATATAAACCCTACTGAAATCTACTTATACTCTTTTCTAAGCAACTCTAACGTGACATTTATTAATCAAATTTCATGGAAAGAAAGAATTTACTAGTTTAAAAACAATAATTATATATATTTTTACGTTAAAAAAGTTTACTTAGAAAATGAAAATAGGTTACCGTATTTTAACAAAAAACAGTTAGTTATGTGCAAATATTAAATTTTTCATTTTATTTCTGTATATACAACTTTTTATTTTTTACTAAGAAACCCACTTGTTTAGCATAAAATTTTACACATATACAGTTCAATAATTTTTTTTTAAAAAAAATTTTTTTATATAAAATTTAATTAAATTTTTTACTTAATAAAAAGATCTGAAAAATAAAATTTGAAGAACTACATACTGTATACTGTATGTAAAATTTCATGCCAAACAAGTTTATTTAAAAAACTAAAAGTTGCATATACTGTATTAATGAATTGATATTTAACTCATTATTACTTTTCATAAAGTTTGATTAATGAAATACACAATTTTTAAGAAAGTATTCTAAATAACCATTAATCTACTATTTTCAATATACTTAACCCTAAAATTTGAATTCATATATTAATAAGTATAACATATTCTCTGACTGTTATAAGTTACTAATATACTATTGTCAATCCATAGATATTACATAACCTGGATCTAAAACTTGGGAAATTCGTCTCACCGAGACGAATCGCTCGGTTCGATTCTGATTGATATTTTCAGAAATATCGGGTTCGTCTCGATGAGACGAATCAAACATAAATTGAATTTGTTTTATGCTAAACAGCACAAGACGAATCTGTTTTATACTGAACAAATGTTAAACTTGCATACAGTAAACAAGCTTATCGGTAAGTCTTGTGTATATAAAAAAATTTAAGCAGTCAAAAATAACTGGAATCGATACAAGTCCAATGACCTTCGTTCTACTGGAACTGAAATTTGTTCCAATAGTATTCCAGTGGACGTTCCAATTTAGTGTACAACTTGGAGAGTTTATTGTGAGCCGTCACTTTAAGCCTGTCCGAACCGGCCTATTTGGAACCGATTTTATTTTTTCATATGATAAACCGGCTTTAATCGGTTTTAGCTTATAAAAGTAAAATCCTCTTCCAGTGCACCTTTTAGAGTTGGAGTGCCATTAACAAAAATGGGGTGGCGTTCCAAACTCTAGACCGCCCCGTTCGAACCCTGAGCAAAGAGTTCCATATTTCTATTAATAATGGTTTGTGTTTTATAGCACTAACTAAAAACTTTAATGCTAATTAAATATTCTATCACTTCTCACTGATATCAATCCATTATTTTAAGTACATTGCTTACACACTATATCTCCAACTATATAAAGTATGTTTGATGTTATATAAAAAAAGTATGCAAGAAAATATGGCACAAGATATATATATATATATACAAAACTTTTTGCAATGATTATGCGTTAATTATTATAAGTAATCAATCAGTCGATTTTGAAAAAAAAAAAAAAAATAGACAGCCTAGTCTGAAAATTATTAATGATCAGGGTCGCTACATAAACATGTCATTATATCCCTATATATATATAAATCAAAATCAGTAAAAAAATAAAAAAAATAAAAATAAAATTTTGAATAAATGAATAGATTAATGTAACTTACGGGCGGTGGCAATTCATCATTATCAGGGTCACCGCTGATTGAAAACAAAGGGGAATTAAAATAATACTTGATAAGCTAATTAATGTTTCTAAGATTAATAAATCTTACCTAAAACCTCCACTACCACCACGACCCGGCAACCGACCAGGTTGTGGTCCAAATGGTCCAATTGGATCAAATCTCGCACCCGGTGGAACCGCACCTCTGAACAAAAATTATTAGTTATTCTTACGAATTATGTAACGTTACGTTGAGTAAAAAAATCACTATAATACCTTGGTAGAGTTTGTGGACCACCATAAATTCCACCACTGTTTGGAGGGCGTGTGTCAAACATTGGGTGATTTGGCCCTACATACATTCCACCACCTCGACTTGGCCCGCCAAAAGGGTTATAAGCACCACCACCGAACCTAACGTATAAATAGTTTAACATATAAAACTCGCGACATTATTTATCCTATTAAAAAACTAACCTTGGACCAATGATTGGACGAGAGCCAAGTGGATCAAGATCATCATGACCAACACCCAAAGGATTATTATAGCTAAATTTACAAAAAAAAAATGTAATTCTAATACAGACTCAATAAACCGAAAGAACCAAGAATCAAATAATTTTTACATTGATAAAGGTTCGTCACCTCCGTAAGGATCATCAAAAATAGGTGGTCGAAAACGTGGTGGTTGACGCGTAGGAATACGTAATGGATCATCAGCGACAGGTTGTGGCTGCCTTCTTTCAGATTGAGTACTACCAGTCGTACTAATTTATATAAAAGAATGTATATTCAATGTAAATTTTAAAATGTAATTAACTTATATATGTCAATATAGCCGACGTACTTTGTACGCGTTTCTTCATATCCAGGTTTATTTAATCCTGGAATCAATCTTTGTAAAATATTAATTTTATAAATGCTAATTAAATCTTTAATACGACTTGATGATATAAATATATTTGCAAGAGGTTCGGAATGTTGCTTCTCAGCAGTATATGGGAAAATCGAAGATGAAGTATGATCATTTGAGATCACTTCAAGAGTACAAGTTTTGTTATCCTATATAGATGACTTTAAATAGTACGAATAATCTCTTGAATCTTAATTCTAATATTCGTCACTTACCTCAATTCCCATGGCATTAATCAAAAATTTATTGGCCAACCGAATGCATTTAACTAAGAAAGTTAAAGAAGATTGTGGGTGCCTGTAGCGAAAGGCGTACGAATTAGGACCTTGAGAATTCCACCCTTTTGGGAGGCCAACGATAAAGCCTTCGAAATCCCTATCCATATTATTGTCTAATTAAATATAAAACATATTAAAACAGTAAATTCTTTATTAAAAAACTTGAAAATCGATTTGATAGTGTAAGGCTTATACCGTCATTATCTTCTTCACCAAGTCCAACAAGCCGAAAACCTACAGCTTCCATAATCGAGTGGAATAATGCTGCGAGTGCATCTTGATTAGAATGAAAAATCACTTTAGGTTCTGAACTTTCACTCTCAGTTTGTGAACTCTTTTCAAGCAGTGCCTGTTCCAATATTGCCAGGATATTCCGTGGCTCTAAAGGATCAACCGCATTCGTTTCTGTTTGAGACATAATTTATTTTTTAATTCTCTTAAAATTTAATTAAAAATATATAAACTTGTTTTAGTAATCTTAAAATTGTCATGATCTGATTTCTGATTACAGGATTACAAATCATATGTTATGCAGTTGCACGTGATTATAAAATTTAACCTCTTTTACATCGTTAAACAGAAGCATTGTTTTATTATAATTTAACGTATTGTCTAAAAAAACAGATCCTTACTAATATACAAAATATTTATGTTAAAAAAAACAATAGGCTTTTTTTTTGTTTCCCCTTTTTTTTTTTTTTTTTTGCATCATATACTATAGAAAATATACTGTATATAGTTTTTTAAAGAATTGTTTTTTTTAAAACTTTGCAAATACCGGTATTAACTAAATATATAAATGCAAAAAAAAAAAAAAAAAAAAAAAGAAAGAATATAACAAAAATGTAAATTTGATCTATATATATTGTAATTAATGTAAGTGTGTACAAGTTAAGTAAATATTTCACTTTTCTCTTCATCGTGCCCATTCGTCTGATTGTTATTATTAACGCTATTTTCTAAATTTGTTTCATCAGCGGTATTTTTTGTCTTAGAATTCATATATAAATCATCAAGATTTCTATTATTAACAACAGTTGGATCTGATAATTCAAGTAATTGATCTATAGCTCGGGAAATACTCCACTCATTATTTTGTAATACAACCTCACAAATATCAGGATCTATATTAGGAAACATGGCTCGGAGTGCAGCAAGTGAATGCTGAAACTCAGCTTCAGAAATTCGATTAACTTCAGCCTGTACATCCGAAAAATCGGTAGACTCACGCGTAAAATTTGAAGAGGCAAGGTGTTGTGAAGCATCACTATCTGATAATCGTCTTGGGGAACCATTTATAGAGTCAATGTGTGAAGACTTATGAGGGGAAGTACTTAGTGATGATGATTCAGAAGCAGAATTGACATCTGAAGAGTTATTAACTCGATGAGATGATAGTGGTTCGCTCAACTCACTAAAGTCATTGCTAATTTCCGCAAATATTCTTCCAACTATGTTCAACGGTTTTTGTATTGTCTTCTGAGCCAAAATACTCCCTTTTTCAAAAAGGGCTTTAGCTTGGGCTGGATTCAAAATTGGAGTTCTTACATGTAAAGGACTTTTTGATGGATGCATCACATTATCATAACTGATTTCTTCTCTATTATTTTCTTGCAATTTTGGACGTTCAAGATCAATTTCTTTTACAGTTTTTTCAATATTTCTATAAAAAATCCGATTCAGTTAAAATTTTAAGAATAATTTTTCATATTGTAAAAGGACCTACGCTTCGAAATCCTCTTGTGATATAGAAAGAGAAGATGCATCCATATTCTCAATAAATGAAATAGCACCCATCTGAAAAAGTATAAAAAATAATTATTAGAAAGAATAAGAAAAATTGGATTAATTCCTATATAATGGGCATACCAAACTTGAGAGATAGTAACCCGCTTCAGATTGTAATTTTTCAGGATTTCGAAATCGATAGATATACCTAAATAAAATATATATAATATAAATTAATTTAATTAATTCAAATACGAGGAAAAAAATTTTTTATGATACTTACTGGACATTAGATACTAAATTATCAGGATTTGCTTTTAACACAACAAATATAAGTATAGGAAGAAATTTATCGGCACTTTCCTCCCCATCTACGTGCCTTATGAGGCCTATGTAAAAGTTATGATATAAATTATGGTATAAATTATGGTATAAATTATGATATAAATTATGATATGATAACAAGACAAATTCGAACTCTACATTATGATATGATATAGTAAGCATTCAACATGCCATTACTAACCAAAAATGACTTTACAACAATTAAGGATGCAAATAAGTTTATCGCGCGGAGCCTTGAAAAAGTTTATTTTTAATAATTCTAAGAAATAAAAAATTTATATAAAGATTTGAATGATGAAAAAGGAACTAAGAATAAATGCGAATAAAAAATAATAGCTAATTACCATTCTTTGCGAATTCAAAATATTGTTCATTATGATCAGCATGAGTTATATCTAAATGTTCTTCTTTGACCCAACGAAATATTTCAATTTTTTGATGTAGAATTTCATCACGTTCTCTATCGTCAGTTGTAACAGGACCTTTGATAGCTGGAGAGAAAGTTCTAAAATAAAAAAAGAAGGATCAATAAATAATATAAAAGTTTTTTTCAAAGTAATATAAATCAGTACCTACAATTTATATAATCTATTCATAACTAGTTTTTCCATACCCTCTTTTGCATTTTCGAATTCAGCATCAGAAGCACCACGCCATAATTCACAATCACGCATTTTTATAGATATAAACTGCATAAAAGTAAATATAAATGATATTTAAGACAAATATTTAAGACAAATACCTAGAAAAATTTACAAAAATATATAATATTTAATAAATATATAAGCGGACATACGTCTAAAAAATCATGTATGATTTTGATTTGATCGTTGGCAGGCCAAGGTTTTTTTTCAAATTCCCGTTCAAAACTAGTAAAAATTTTATAAAAAAAAAATAAATATCGAAAAGGACCAATAAGCAAAAAAAGATATGAGAAGGATATTTACGATTTGACGTAACGTGCAATATTGGTAGCAGTTGGATTAGCCATTTGTTGAAGGAATCGATTAAAGTCAAATTGTAAGTCTTGTTGAGGAGAAGGCTTTCTTCCTAAATTATGTTGCTTAACGACATCTTCAACAGTGCTTCCAGGGGAAATTTGTACATCTCGAGAATCTCGAGAAGTATATGTTCTACTTTTTCTATTATTATAAGAGTCATCAACTATTGAATCTAATAAACATGAAAAGAGCATTTTAACTCAAAGATTACAAGTAATAAAAATAACAGAATGTAATAATAATAATAATAATAATATATTTACCGTCGTTATTTTCTAATATTGTGAATGGTTGACATTCTTCTTTTTCAGTGGCCACAGTTTCAACGGCAGACATTGTGTCGACAGAAGGATTAGTTACTTCCATTTCTTTAATTAAAAGATTCAAATAGTGAGAAAATTTATCAGACAATGCCGATTTTGTACGATAATATTTAATTCGTTGTCAGTTCACGCATTTGCCGATCCATTTGACGTTGGGTGTTCTTTTATAATTTATACACGTTTAATAAGTGTGGTACATTTGTGAAACTTTACTCGCGATATAAGGAGCATAATCATGTGTTAAGTCGATATTCGATTTGTACAATGTAATTTACGTAATTTACATGCATAAAAATAAAAACCAGTAATTTTCGTTTCACGTGCAATGAAGCGTCACGTGATTGTTGCAGTATGCAAATTTTAAGGTTTGACCTGGGGCTTAATCTCTATTTTTATAGCGTTAACGTTAGGTTAAGAAGAATAAGTAAATACATATTGTACATGCATCATGCGTTTTATACATATAGAGGATAGGCGAATTGGTACCACTTACTATATATCTATAAATCTAAACCAAAGCACGTTAAAGACCAAATTCAAACCACTTTAAGCAATAAACCCGATTTCTTATGATCAGCAAGCTTGTCTTGTCCCAAGCCTTATATTTAAAGCTTTTTTTTTTACTCATAATAATTAGAAAGTTGTTCCTATGCTAACTTCTCGAGTACTGTTGATTTAATTTTCTAGCATTCCTGAAACAATAATATTAATTAATGTACCGGCAATTAAGTTCTCAAAATATACTTTATGGTAAGTTACGATTGATTTACATTAGCCAAACAAACTTTTTACCTATGAATAAATCTAAAAAGTTTAATTGTGTTGGACAAAAATTTGATGTCAGACCAGTTTATAATTTGTGTCAGAATATATATTTAATACATTAATATATATAAATATAAATATATACAGTATACGTATAATGTAATATGTAACGATAACAATAATAATAATAATATGTAATGATAAAAGTTAACATAAATAGGATCGCTTTACTGCCATTTTTAGAATACTTTGAGTATGAAAGAATATCTGGTAATATAATGTATCTCTTACGTAGAAGTAGTAAGAAATCATAGAGGGATACAGTAATAGGAGTAATAGGTAGCAATAACAATTAATCAAATTTTTGCTTACAAATTTCTGTTTTGCACTGAAAAGATTTAGTTAGTATATGAAACAGTGATTATTAAATTTTATTACATCATTATACGTACTGATTTTTATAATATGGCTAATAACAATAGCTGATAGTAATTAACAGTTAATGATGTTATCGGCCTGATCCGGCTTGTATATTTAACTATTATAAAAACCGATTAATTAATAGAGCCGAACGAACCTGCATGATATATGATATAACGATACGATAACGAATTCTTTATCGATCAAAAAAAAATGTTTTTTACGTACATTACGTCGCTAATTAAACTTTTAAACCAGTAACAGGTAACGTACTGTACAGTGCATTAAGCTTCGACCAATAATTTGCCCAAGCAGCACAAAAGAATCCTGTTGGTTTTCTAGAATCAGGGATTTTGACAACTGCATTTTAGAACAAATCGCATGCTTTTCAAAATTCGCATGAGAAGCCGCCTTTCGTGCTTTATTAAAATGGTTTTCTTGAACAATTTTACTATATCTTACTCATAAAGCAATGTTATGACGAACTTCTAAGTGCGTCATACATATCACGTGAGTATGGAATTTATCGGTTATTCATCTAACCAATCAGTGAATTTGAGTACTCTGTCTATTGAAATTGCTCGAACTCGAGCCAATTTACAAAGAGAGCTGTTTGAAAAGATTGAGCAAACTATCACATTCGCAATTTTTGAATCTGTGCCCGGTTTGTTAAATATCTACTTAAACATAACCAAACAGATCATAGCATTGATCCTGTAAGATTGAAAATTTTTTTTTATTTTAATTCTATATATTTATAGCATTAAAATATTGATTGAATTTCATTTAATAGATGTCGTAAAGGTTCAAAAAAATCCTTAAATCGAGTGAATTTTTTCTTTTTAAACTTTGATCGACTTTTTTCCAAAGAATATTCGAGAATTTTTTTAGACAACCAATAAACCAAATTCAATAAACTTTTTTATTTAAATTCTCCAAGTGTATAGAATTAAAACAATAAAATAAATTCACCGAATTTGATCAAGTAGTTATTAAGTAATCATCGCTAAAAATTATAAGGATCGACGTAAATAAAGCCGTGATCTGATTGGTTATGTTTAGGTAGATATTCAACAAACCGGGCACAGATTCGTTATGGCTAATTATACCAGAGGTTCCGCAAGCAAACTTTGGGAAAAAATGCGTCAACTTTTGACTGTGGTAAGTTCACTATAGAACAAACAAAAAAATTTAAATAGCATAGATTTCGAAATCTTACAAGAATCACAATCAGGAAATATTGGTCCTTTTTACATTAAAACCTCTGATATTTACAATAATTGTCGCGGCTGAAGCTGGAAATTTTAATTATTTTAATATGAAATTTTCAAAATCAAGGTCCCTAATTTCCAGCTTCAGCCGCGACAATAATTATATTATTAAAAGAATCCAGAGTCAAATACGGGTGTTCCCATTACGGGTGTATATCGCACGCCGTCTCCAGGGTATGAATAAGCGTAAATATTTGATCATTTTTGTTTGTCGATTTTTATAATTGACAGAGTTTCTGCTTTCAATTAGATCACAGCCAGAGACTTACGTTCGGCCCTCAACAAACCATTCAGATATAGCTCAGAATTACTATTTTAATCGTGATGCACGACGAAATTATCCGCGTTTAGCTGTATATACGCAAAATGACGTTGCAAAGTTAATCACTGCTTCACACTTGAAAAGGTTTGGTTTTCTCAATTTCGTTCTTACTTTTCTGGAATAATTCTTTCAAATAATCTCAAAATGTATTAAAATATTAGTATAACGGCTGGTAACCAAGATGCCTCTAAAGAATCAACTACAACGGAAACTAAAGAACCAACTACAACGGAAATGGTTATTCCAGAAAAGCTTGAGTTAACTGAAGCAATTGCCTCTTCACCAGTCTTGTATTCAGCTGATAAACTACCTCCTGTTCCTCCTACTTTTCATACATATCGTTGGAAAAAATCTGAGGATGCAGATGACCCTAACCCAGGTTTGATAAAAATTCAATATTTTTTAAAAAATTTATATTTTGCTTTCTCACAAAAACTTTTTATTTTTAGGTGTTTACTGGCCTATGAAAATGGTTTCATAACTATTCATTTTATACTTGTAACCATTTTATGTTTTTTTTTCTTTTAAATACAATATTGAATACCATTACAACACTTTATACACATATGTTCGCTTTATGATGATTATTTTTGTTTCTGTGCCTCCCATTGTGCTGGTGTATAACTTTTCTGTTAAAGATTTTATATTACAGTAAAATAGATTAATGTATTACTGTTAAAATGCTATTTTTTTGCAATAGATTATAGTATTTAAAATAAATAAGAATTGCTTACCTGTGAGAAAGCATGAAGTTGTGCAATTTCTGATTTACATGTTTCATTCACTAATCGATGTTTTTGTAAAACATTTTTACCCTCAAATATTTTAGACACTATTATAACGTCGTAACTTTGTCCACAGCCACCTTGCGAAGAAAAATAAATAAATAATAACAAATTCAGCACAGTAAATTATAATTAAATATTAAGTTTTTAACAAAAAAACTAACCGGAAGTATCAACGACTTCAACATATTCAGCTTCGAGTTTTTCTCTTAAAGTCTGCTCTATTGATTCTTTTGAAATACCAGACATTTTTAAACGTACTGTAAGTTAGCTAGCGTACCAACCTAAAATATCATATTGGCCAATCAAATTTCAAGATCAGGTGTAATGCAAAAAATCGTTCTCAACTCAAAATTTACTGCCTTCTGCGCACTATCATAACAAAAAATGTTTTCTTTAAGAATTTTGGCATTAGTTAAGCCTTTCTAATCTGATATAATAACGAACTGTAACCGATAATAAACAAGAAATTTTTATATGAAATTTTTTAGGTCGGTAATTTAACTGATCACATGAGCGGTGAAACTGGTCATATGATAATGTATATCAACTATCATTTATATGGATCCGAGCATAGAATAGTAACAAACGTCCACTTGTACACTTGAAGACTGAGATCATGCCGAAGCACGAATTCTTAACACCGAAAGCCATCGCTAATCGTATAAAAGTATGAACAAGATAAATCTTATTTATTGATTAAAGGTGCTCTGTAATTAACCTCTTTTCATTTTTATTTAAGGCTAAAGGTCTTCAAAAATTAAAATGGTATTGCCAAATGTGTCAAAAGCAATGCCGTGACGAAAATGGTTACCAAGTTTGTATTTTTTTACTATATCCTGTTTTTCTTTTTGACTTGTTAAATAATTTTTTAACTTGTAACTTGTTTGCTTACAGTGCCACATTCGTTCTGAATCTCATCTTCGTCAAATGGATCTCTTGAAAGAGAATCCTTCAATGTATATGCAAGGTTATTCTAAACAATTTCATGATGACTTCATCAAATTGCTCTCCAGAAGGTAACTTTTACTAGTCCATCATTCTTATTTTATTTTTTTAATGTTGATTTTTTACTTACCTTTTGCCTTCCTTTTCTAATTAAGATGGGGTACTAAGAGAGTTCACGCAAATCTTGTATATCAAGAATATATCTCAGATAGGCATCATGTACACATGAACGGTACAATTTGGGATACTTTAACTGATTTTGTAAAATATTTGGGTAGAGAAGGCACTTGTGCCGTTGATGAGACACCAAAAGGTTGGTTTGTTAGTTGGATTGATAACAGTCCAAAGGCTTTGGCTAGACAGGTAATTTAATTAATGATTACAAATAGCTATGTAAGATTATATTATTATTTTGAATAATTAATAACTGATCCTTTTACATTTGATTTATTTAGGAGGCAATTCAGAAAAAAGAGCGAGCAGAAAAGGGCGAGGAAGAAAGGGCTCGCAAATTAATAGAGGAGCAAATAGAGAGAGCTCAGAAGGAATCTGATGATTTGGGTGTAGAAGATGTATTTATAATTTTTTTTATCATATACATATTAATTATTTTAGATTATTCATTTTTTTTTTTTCTTTCCTTTATAGGAAAAATTTACGGAACTCAAACGAAGCAATGAAGAAGATAAGATAAAACTCAACATTTCTTTAGTAAAATCAGAATCTTCCATTTCGTCTTCTACCGTTAAAACCGATTCATCTACCACATCAACTCCTTCTACTAATGGTTCCACTCACACTAGCATCTCATTTAATAAACCTACTTCCCAAAAAATGTCCCTTAGTGCTTTAGCAAAAAAATCCGGTTCTTTAAATGTACAGAAAAAAGAAAAAGAGAAAGAGCAACCAAAGAAATTAACGGCTATGGAACAAATTATTATAGACGAGATGGAGAGAAAGAAAAGGAAGGAAAGCCTGAATGAAAATGGTAACAAAAGAAAAGATAATCAGAGTAGAGAAAAGGAAAGGAATTATAAAGATAGAGAATATAATGAAAGGAGAGGAGAGAAAGAAAGTCTGAATGAAAAGGAAAGGAATTATAAAGATAGAGACTATAATGAAAGGAGAGGAGAGAAAGAAAGTCTGAATGAAAAGGAAAGGAATTATAAAGATAGAGAATATAATGAAAGGAGAGGAGAGAAAGAAAGTCTGAATGAAAATGGGAACAAAAGAAAAGATGATCATAACAGAGAAAGAGAAAGAAATCATAAAGATAGAGAATATAATGAAAGGAGAGGGGAAAAGGAAAGTCTGAATGAGAATGGGAACAAAAGAAAAGATGATCATAGCAGAGAAAGGGAAAGGAATCATAGAGAATATAATGAAAGGAGAGGAGATAGGGATAGATCATATGATCGAGAGTCAAAAAGAGCACGCAGATATTAGGGTTTTATAATTTGGTGCATCCCTTAGTCACGTAATGGGATTACGTACAATATAATAAACTTTATTAATAATTTTTTATACGTATAAATTATTTTATTTTTTACTGCAATATTTTTAGGCAATGTCTATTTTCACCATTGGGCATAACTTAGTTTATGATATTTGTCGTATTTATATTAGCTTTAAGTCATGTGAAAATAGGCGTTTCCGATTTTCATTAATCACGTTGGTACAAAAAAGCAGCGATGCACTCATCCCAATATCACCCGATGTACATGTTATGCATTGATTCCTATATCGATATTTTATATATTATAGTAATCCTTATATTTAGTCTTAAGACCAGTTTGAAACCGAAAAAATTTGGTCTGCTATAGGTCTTTAAGACTGGCAGATATTCGATTTGATTGGTTAATAAATGTAAACAATAAACGTGATCATTAACCAATCAAATTAATTGAACATCTAATATGATTTTTCTGTATATAATTATTAATGAAGCTTTATATTTTATTATTATTTTTTTTAGTAAGGTTCCGGGGACTAAGCTTTATTGATATGTATGCAATTGTATTTAAATATTTTAGCATTTAAAAAAAGTAAATCAAGTAGATTAGAGCTAAAAAAAGTATAAAAACATAGACAAATTTGCCTGTATTGGTTTATATATTAAGAAATAAGATTTTTTTTTTTTTTTTAATGCCTCTTATGACTTTTATTAAGTATATATTTGTATATATTATGTGATACAGTTTTTATATACTATTTAAAGTACATATAGCTCAGACAATTATCTGTAATCTTATTTTCTCCTTCACAATGATTACTTGAACCAAAATTTCCTACAAAAGAAAAGTCAAGTTTGGACACTGGAAAAGTAGAAAAGACCTGTAGTAGGTAGACAACAGTGCGGTTTTTATAAAGGTTAACCTCTTGTGCTTTTATGGTGATTCCTTTATATATTCGACATGCAAGCCAAAAGCGTCTTTATACAAGATAACTAGCTGGGGAAGTGTGCTCTTGTATATGAAATTTTGGTGGGGATTATAGTGTTTCTCCATCGACAAAGCAACCTGTTGCAAAATAACTGGGAAACAGTGAAGAACTTGCTATTCTCAAGCCACACTTCTTTATTCGAACAAGTAACTCCTCTCTTACTCACTTTCACTCTCCTGCCGGTTTTTTAAAATTTTTTCAAAAAAGTGAGGATTTGGCTTACCTCCTTTAAAAGATCAGCATTGTTTATATTCCAAATTCAGATAGCCTATTAGACTGCAACCACATGTTTTATGAATACGGCGTCTCTATACAGGATCAGGCCTTGGATAAAAAACCCCTAATAAGGAAGAAGGTACTCCTAATGGCGGCAGCAGGTGGTTTAAGATACGGGTCTACAGATGGTGATAGCATCTGGCTTGAAATACAGATTAAGATGAGCTGGAGCAAAACTATCTGGAGTATGACAAATAGTTGGAAAGAAACCCCCGAAGTTAAGGCGAAGCTTTACAATAGAGATATACAAACATTGCATTTAGTATATAATTTTTCAGCTTTGTACAGGTTATAATAGTGCACCCCTTTCGTTTTCTTTTTTTTTTAAAAATGTATATCATAATATCTTGTCCCTTTTTGTGCTTTTTCTATCTTCTTCTCTTTATGATGGAATCAGATTTAGAACATACCATTCTTAATATGTTTTCTTTTTTCTTTTCTTTTCTTTTTGTCTTTTTTTTTCCTAAATTTTGTTTTTCTTTGGTAAATTTGGCATATAGTATTCCTTTATAGAAAAGTAAGAGATAAACTATTCTGCCCGGATCTAGGCAGGAAAAGTTTTCAAAAAGGGATGGAAAGTTATAACAGGCTAGTAGATCCCGGCCAGTGATTTGTGGATTCGAAATCTGAAGTAGATCTAGAAGAAACAAGGAGGCTGCTTCTGCACTTGGCAGGTCGCACATAGGTCCAATTGGAAATCGAGTGAATCACACTTTAGTATAAGGCGGCATTGGCCATAAAACTTAGATAATCAAATTGTAATCTTGCTCATACGAATTGCTCTTTCTTAGTCTTAAGTAATAAAGTGTTGGTATGACTGCTTTGACTCTTAAAAAAAAAAAATTATTTGTAATCTAAATCTACCAGAGCCTTCTATATTCTTACTATATAACTAATCTGGTTTTTATATATCTTTATCCACCTTTAGTTAATTTTTATATTAAGAGATAAGATTTAACAATTATGATAATTGTATTATATTATTATTTAACAATCACAATAAAAATACAGTTAGCATTGGGTTAAGGTTTTATAGCCTAGTGGTTTAGACACCTAACCCTCCACAGACAAGATTAATGGTTCGATTATAGCTAGTAGTAATTAATTTAATTAATTATCTTTATAATCTTTAAGAGCCTTCAAATGTGAAACCCTGTAGTGGTAAGATCATGTGATATATATATTTGGTTTATAAAGAATTCTTGGAAGGAGCTCCAAGCTATAGAAAAGTTTGGGCACTGTGTATGATATAGGTTACAGAAAGTTTACTGCAGAAGGCTGTGTGTGTGAATTTACGATTGGCAAAGTAGCATCAACAACCCTAAGGTGGTATTGGGATCTTGATTGGGAAGATAGCTATATATGGTATATTTAAAAGTGGTGAAAGAAGCAATAAACATGATAAGAGGCTATAGTAAGAGGATAGCTTTACCAAATAAAGAAACACCTCTGGCTAGAGTTGTTTGCGCAAGGTAGGTAGTGTCGCCAATAGTGTTTTAAAATAGAGTGTGCTATGGCATACCAATTTAAATATGGTGTGAAGATGGCGAGCCAATTACAAATAAAACTTAGTTCCAATATATTTTCTCAAAAATATGTAATTTCTGGCACTATGGTATTAATAAAAAAGTTTTAGAGTTTGTCATTTTTGGTCGGGCACACAGTAGATCAGGTAACTGTTTGAAGTTATGGTTATTGCCAGTGTTTAAGCACAAGATGCACATGTGCAAGTAGTTTTTTTTTTGTGCAAGAGAAATTCTAAACGTATATGTACAAGTGGCAATTAAATTTAAATAAGAAGCTTGTATAAAAAATAATATACAAGAGAAATTATAAAATTTTATTGCACAAAAATTTAGTCTAAATATAAAATATAAAAAGATAAAGATGGTCTGAAAAGCTTCGAAAATAAATTGAATAAAAATAAAATACGAGCAAGGTTGAGCTTAAATCTGAAATATTTCAATATAGTAATTGTATATTTAGAGATGATAAATATATGCATATGGGTGCCGTTAAGGGAAAACCTACAATTAGGCTTTCAAGTATATTTTGTGTATAGTTGTTATCTGTATGCTGTCTATGTAAATCTATCATCAGATATAGATTTACCATAGCCGGCACACAGATAACCAACTATATACAAAATATACTTGAAAACCTAATTGTAGGTTTTTTTTTAATGGCACCTATATAATTAAATGCTTATCGCATGTCTACTACTGGGAAATTTCGGAATGGTAAACAGTTAGTGAACGTAAAATATAGACACATCACCAAAATTTGCAAAGGGATTACTATTGATGTTATTCGGTTATTGGATAGTAATCGATATAAATACCCCTAACGATGACTATCGAGTTAGTTAGTAATCGATATATATCGATATATATTAGTTAAAAAAAAATCCGATTAGTAGTGATTAATATCAAATAACGATTCAAATCGATTTTTTCTAATTATACCAATATCAATACTATTATACC